GCTGATGGGAATGTAAAATGGTACAACCATTGTGGAAAGCAATATGGCGATTCTTTCAAAAGTTAGAACTAGAAATACCATTTGACCCAGCCATTCTATTACTAAGTACATATCCTAAAGAAATGAGAGCCATGACAAGAACAGACATATGCACACACATGTACATCGCAGCACTATTTTATAATAGCCAAAATATGGAAACAACCTAGGTTTCCCTCAACTGAGAAATGGATAACCAATCTATGTTACATACACACAATGGAATACTATGCAACGCTAAAGAATAATGTAGAATCTGCAAAACACTGCATAATGTGGATGAACTTGAAGGACATTATGCTGAGTGAAATAAGTGAATCACAAAAGGATAAATATTGTATTAGTCCATTATTGTAAATGTCAAGGAAAGGTTTATCTATGGAAGGACATTTTCTTTGTTGGTTACCAGGGGTGGAAGGGGAGTGGAGGGAACACTGTTAGAGAGGTAGAGATAAGTATTGATTTCGGTGAAGAGAATGGCAATGTACCAAATGTGAGTGATCAATACGGTGGCATTGAGTAAGAGATAGACAGAGAGAGGTACATGGGAGGTACAGACAACAGAGATGAACCCTTTTGCACATATAGTACTGCATTGTCAGTGAAGGCAAACAAGGGTATAAGGGTGGATAGATGGGTGGACAGGCTGAACTATTAGGTATGTCTATAAAGCAGGGAATGTACCCAAGAATTTGTATAGGGTTGGCAGACAATTGTCCTCTAAGCTTATGTATATGATCTGAATTCCCAGGTGTATAGTAGAGCTGACAAGGGGCAAGGTTGTAATCACCTTTTGGTCACAGCCAGCTACCCAGAGGGACCAAGTAGTTGACCTGTGGGCTCGGGACCATAGTCACAGGGGACATCAAGTTCAATTGGCATATCACACTACACAAAACATTCTTCCACCTCCTACTTTGGTGAGTAGTGATTGGGACCTTAAAAGCTTGTAAGCTGCCATCTAGATGCAACAATGGGTTTCTCTCCATCCAGAGCAAAGAAGAATGAAGACAAACAAAAATTCATGGAAACAATTAGTCCTAGTGACTAGTTCACCATCCGATCTGCAGCCTATATGACTATGAGACCAGAAGAACTAGATGGTGCCCAGCTACCAATGTCAACCACTTGGAAGGGGATCTATTTAGTAGATCCTGGATAGAAAGGGAGAACAATGTGATAACAAAATTAAAAATCATTTGGAAGGGAAAAAAAAAGGGGGGGGGGAGACCAGTTTTGCTGGTCCGATAGAGCCTGGTGCAACCACTGAGACTCTGGCCCCTAGCTGCCCTTCAGGTTTAAAATTGAACCCCCATCTATGGCTTCCAGCCAAGCAAAAGACAGGCATATGAGTTGAACATTTACCTGACGTAGATACACTTCTTGGAGAAAACAATCATGGGAGAAAGAAGGGCTGCTTATACACAGAGAGACAGCTCAGGGGGCAGGAGTGCATGGAGGGATGGACACAGGGAAGAGGTAACTATCGGGAGGAAGTGGGAGAGGAGCTGTTGCATTGGGGTAAATTGGAGTCAATGTCATGAGACATAGTATGTAAACTACTGTATGGAAAGTGAATTTGCTCGAAATTTTCACCCAAATCACAATAAATAAATTAAATAAAAATAACCAAAATATTGGTTATTGCTTTTCTTACCTACTTGACTTCTGCTTTAATCTCAGCTAGTTGTACCTCATCCTATTGTTCTTTTACCTCTCCCTTTTGTTCTTTCATTTTGGTCTTTTATTCTTATAACTAATTTCTCTGTATTATAGAAGTTATATCATCTTGAATACTCTTTGTACTTCATTGTGATATAATAAAATTCCCATTTTGTTCATATAATGCTATTTTTTTCAACATACAATGTTTCCTCTGAATATTCAGCATGATGCTATTCATTTCTCCTACTGCACTTTTATTTCAAGAGTTCTATAAAGATTTATCTTTTACTCATCTTCAGATAAAGGAATATCTCACTTTAAAAAAAAAAATTGAGAACAGCCAAACCAAACATATTGCTTCCCTAGCAATGATTCCTACCTTTGATTCTATGTGATTATGTAATTTTCCATAGATTATCCAGTTAAAATAACATGTGACTCTGAAAAATAATAACATAAAAAACCTTGCTGTGGAATGGATTCCAACTCACAGTGACCCTATAGGACAATGCAGAACTACCCTCATAGGATATCTACTTCCCTAGAGCTACTGTCTTGGAAACTCAAGGAGGGGGTCACTAAGAGTATTGACTCCACAGCAGTTTTTTTTTTTTTTCTATCCTCACATAGAAATAGGATTTCAAGTAGTAATGTTTGTGGAAGCAGACTGCCACATTGTTTAGCGGCTGCTAGGGTCAAACCAAGAAGCTCTGGTGGTACAGTGGTTAAGGCATTGGACCTTAGCCAATAGCCTCATTTCACCAACCCACCAGTCACTCAAAGGGAGGAAAGGTGAGGCAGTCTGCTTCCATAAGTATCTACAGCCTTGGAAACCCTACGAACAGTTCTACTCTGTCCTAATAGGGTTGCTGAGTCGGAATCAACTGGCAGTAGGGGTTTTGTGTTCAAACTGCTGACCTTTCCATTGGGAGTCAGGCACTTAACCACTGCACCGCCAGCGTTTCTCTTTTAATCTAGGACATTC